TGTAGTTTTTACTTATATTACAAGTTTGTAAAACTTTTTATTTTCAAATAAATCATTTTCAATATTCTTTTGTATATTTTTTACGTGGTCACAATTCTTCATAAGTAGGTATTGTGATGTTTCGTTGTGGCCTGCCTAAAAGATCCAATCCATACCGCGGTTGTTTCCAGGGATTCTAAACTCTAGCGGGATGGAGTTTATTGGCTGTATTTACTTTAAAAAATCTATGCAATTACGATCTATGGCAATGACGTGCCTATATTTGTATACATACTGGATGTTAAGAGACCGCTTCCGAAAACGAAGACAGACGATAGACGCCTTTGATGATGGGACGGAAAAAAAAATCGACATTAAACACCCAAAGAGCAAATGACCCATGAAGGAGGAATGGGATCCGCGACCCTCGCCAACCACTACGAGGTAAAACTACCCCATCAAGTCAGTCAAGTTTATATCTATCTTCGCGAAATAGTCTTTGATATATTATCTATCCATTACTGTAATATATTGATATTTATCTATATTGGATATTTTCTACCACAGCGTCATTTTATAAGGTAAGCGAATTTAATAAAGTCACAATGAGGTTTGTGATAAACTGCAGATCTTATGAAGAAGTAGCCGTCCATAATCCACTGTCTGGCTAATATGGAAAATTAGTTGCTTTGTATAATTTTTAACTTCTTGGTCGCCTGTTTCTCTGAAGGGGACTGAAATTATTATTTTGTTAGCATATGCTTAAAAAAAATACAATTTATATATATATGTTAACGGAAATGTATGTAATCCGTCATTGTATACAATTCCTAGGAAATGTATGTAATTCCTAAAATCGCACGGAAATGTGTGAAATAAATTATATTATACTTACACATTACACATTTCCTAGGAAATCTATACATTTCCTAAATAGCAATCGAAATAAAAAAATTTAAGATATTGGTGGGATACGCGGGACAGCGGGACCAGTCTTGCACTACGGTCAGTTGCCAACTTGCAATCCACTGGAACCGGCCAGGGATTTAAGAAGTGCCTTTGCAAGAAAAACTGTGCTACATCAAGATGTCTGTGTTTTAAAAATAAAGTATTATGTACTTCCAAATGCCATTCGAGCTTACCCTGCAAAAATAAATAGCTATATGGACTGACAAAGTATTATAACATAAAGATTTACTTTTATACTTTGACATTTATAATTACTTCATTATCAGACTCATTACTTGCCAAATGAAAATTTGATTTTATAAGAATAAATATAAGTTGATTTTGTGATACGTTAAAAGATAATAGATAGTTGATTTTAGAAGTTTTAATTAGTAAGATAATATGAATATATTATTATTATTTTACGGTATGACTGTTACCCGATTGTCTCAATAAGTGTTATAATAAAAATATATTATTAACAACGTGTTTTATTACAGAAAGCATTTACTTTATACATTTCCTAATACGATATTGGAATTATATACAATTCCGAGGAAATTTATACATTTCCTAGGATATCTATGCATTAAATAGTTTTTCAAACAATATTTTATACATTTCCTAAATAGTATCGGAATTGTACACATTTCCTAGGATTTGTATACAATTCCTTAATTTCATACATTTCCGGTAACATATATATATATATCATGAGTTTATAAAAGCATCAGGGCCAATACTATAAAAATAAATGAAGTATGCATTATAATAATTAATGTATTATTATATACATATAATAAAGTTCCAATATTATTGTTTTATACATTTTATGACGTCAACTTTGTTTTCTAATGACGGCGTTCGTAAAGATGACTTGAACCATAGATATTATTACCTCGTTACAATCTGTTTCTCTCTTAATTTTTCGAATCGATATATCATCGTTCTATTAGTAATTATATCAGTTAACTACGATTCTAGTAATAAGGCCCATTGTAAGTGCGTTCGAGTAGGTACCGCCACCCTGCCTATTTCTGCTGCGAAGTAGCCGGGCTTTCCAGTTTGAAAGGTCGGACAGACGTTATACAATATAATAGAGATTTGGCCTCATATTCCATGGATGAGCGCATTTTACGCTCCATCACGGCATCTATGATCATCAGTAAACCTTTTCCCCTAGGTAGACCTTCAAGATCGTTCACTCATCTACACAAAAAAGTAACTGATTCGCAATTGGACTGAAAGGTTGAAGAAATCACGTATCCAGGTACATTGGACTATTGATACTCTCCTTAGGAGAGTTTGGGGAAATATGCTATCGTAAGTATGGTACCTTCTTGATATTTCAACAGGACAGCAACGGCCAAACGCTTAGTTTCTCGTATTTCTCTGAAGAAAACTTCACAGCGTCCGCTTATATACAACGCAGTGATAAATCCAATAACAGAATGTACTATAACATAATAGTTTGCTAAATTCTTTGATGCTAAAACCTGCGAAAACCATTTGATAATTTAGGCTAATGACTTAAAATTGATTTACGGGCACTTAACGGGCACAAACACTTAAACGGTACATAATGTTATGTTCGGCTAGTGAGTTTCTGTAGCAATAATAGCAGTCAATTTCTCCAATTATACCCAATCCATGTATTTTTTACAGCCATCACGACCCGCATAGCTTCGATTTTAATGATTTGCACATTTCTGTTTCGCAACATTCATGGGGCACAGTTTGAAGATAATTTAGACTTCGACCGAAAGGTTGACATTTTGTTTTTACGTTGTGGATTCTATTAGGTTCGTTTAAGTCCAGTGCCCCTAGACGCTGTCAAATTCGAATAGCGTTAATGCTTGTAACGTGTATACAAATGTATGTAATCAACATAATCTAAGGCAAAGTCGCATTTCTCGGGGTGGGGTGGCGCTGGCGGTGTCTCTTGACATCGCTAACGCATTTAACACTCTGCCCTGGACCGTGACAGGAGGGGCACTGGAGAGGCATGGAGTGCCCCTCTACCTCCGCCGGCTGGTTGGGTCCTATTTGGGGGCCAGGTCGGTGGGACCCTTCACCGTTTTCCGGTCGTGCGTGGTGTTCCGCAGGGGTCGGTTCTCGGCCCTCTCTTGTGGAATATCGGGTACGACTGGGTGCTGAGGGTCGCCCTCCTCCCGGGCCTCCGCGTTATTTGTTACGCGGACGACACGTTGGTCGTGGCCCGGGGGGATGATTATAGAGAGTCTGCCCGTCTCGCAACAGCGGGAGTGGCCGTCCAGCGTCGTCGGAAGGATAAAGAGGCTAGGGCTCCCCATGGCGCTCAGTAAATCCGAGGCTCTGTGGTTCCACGGGCCGCGGAGGGCGCCACCCGTTGACGCCCACATCGTGGT